AGCCTTGAAACATCCTGAGGGTTTGTATCAGCCCATGTAGCGCTTCTAACCTATAACATTGTTACAAGAAAGTGAGAGGTGCACTATATTAAATAATAAAGAAGAATATTTACTAGGAGGAAGAAACCCAACCACCTGCTACATGTTATAACAGAAATAATCGTTAATTGTTACAAATATATAAAAAAAAAACAATTTCAACTCATTCACAATTTTCTTTGCTCCTTCAGAAACATCAATTGATGTGTATAAAACGCTTATGTCCTAGTTTATTGATTTCAGCAAATTCTATGTAAGGCCATACCAATTTGGTTATCTGATTGCGAACATTTGTTAAAATGTTTCTTGTTATTTTTTTAGGAAAAAGCTTAATTTAAAAAACAAAAGTACTTGCCTACGGCTTAATCCACTTTAAAATGTACTCGGATTGATTTTTTAATATTAATTAAGAAAATAAAATCAAAAAATCTATGCTGATAATCTCATGACTTAGATTCATAGGATCAAATACAGGCCCATCAATTAGATATGGCAAAACATAAGGACTGGAGAAGCAAGTGCCATAGCCCGGATTTTTGTGATAGAGGTGACAGAGGGGCTTCCATGGAGCACTGTATGCAAGAGCAACAAGAAGAGGGTGGATGGGGGAGAGGATTTGCCCACCTAGAAAATTTAAGTCAATTTTCTGGCATTTGCGATCATTGCTGGGAGCAAATTCTTGTGCGTGAAAGAGAGCCAATTCACTAGTCCTACAGCATGCACTAGTGGTACTAGTAAGTGGTGGGGGTGGGGGTCACTATAACCATGAATATTATATGATAGTGATGAGATAGTATAAGATCACAGCGGAGTGGAAGAATGATGACATAATGGAATTTCAGATAGGGACGCATAATGTGTAATATACTGAGCTTTTTAATTTGGGGGACTTTACTTGAGAGATGTGGGGGTGGGGGGCTGTCTTTGGGTCGGCTCCTTAGACAGCCACAAATAACACTAACTGGGGATCGTTGGACAAGCCCAAACCACCCTGAGACCACCCCAAACCATCCTAAATAGGGCTCCTTAGACCGCCCATAACTGCTATTGTCGCTGCAAGAACTATATATAGTACATGGTTCTGTGATAGTTTGAGGCGGTCAAAGGAACAGCAGTTTCAGACAGTTGAGGGATATACTGGTATAATATATCACTTGGGGTAGTCAATATTTACATGTATCAAGTGCCAAAGGGTTAAATGGGTTCTATCCACATTGACTGCCAGATGAAGTTCAATGCATTTCTGTTTTCTGTCAGGATAGAGAATCTACTTGGAAATTAATTACATGATTATCAATATTGTTACAGTGATGTAATTTTCTGATAACAATCTACAATATCTGTTTCTCAAAATGCTAGAAGCTACACATACACCCCTGTCAATGACCAGTAAAACCTGGCATCAAAATCACTAATCCAAAATATACCAGCATTTCATTTCGTTTAATTCTCTTGCGTGAAATGAAGTTAATAAGCGAGATGTTGAAATAAGGCTCTTTCCATATTTCCATTGTGGTTTTCTTCTTGAAACATAACTCAGCATGCCTACTTAGAGATACATTATGCAAGATTAGATAAAGAGCTGGCTGTGTATAGCTCTAAAGCTTCATTATCCAGTGTCTAGTTGTTTGGTTGGGATGAAAAACTAAGTGCCTTGGCAGTTGGAATTCAATAAGCCGTATTGCTGCTATCTGAGCAAAATTTCCCTCATAGCACACAACAGTATGGCGTTTGCCCGTCTTCGTTATCCCAGTCGGAGCAGAACAGTAGGATGTTCACCATTTCATTTCATTTCAATCAGATTTGGTTTTCGTCTGTGTAATGTTTAAACTAGACTAAGCTTTAAAAAGTACACAATTATTGAGTTATTGGTTTCACAACTCCTTTTTGTGGACAATCAGTCAGATTGGATGACTTTCCATCTATCAAAAATCTGAGTTTTAAAAAGGGTGTCTGCTGCGAGCTAGCTGTAGAAATCACTCTGAGACTAATGGATTTTGGTGTTGAAGAATCTCGATTATTCAGGGAGTATTTGTCAGAAGCCAGATTAAGAACCAATCGTTTAAAATTGGATGGAATTTTCATGTAAACGAAATAACATTTGAATTGATTTTAGTTTAGAATCTGACAACACGATTTTTTTGATTTATTCCTCTCCATTAGAAAGTCTTAATCACTGCTCTGCAGCAAAAATTACAATTTCAACCGCAATTGAAAAAAAAAAAAACAATTTCCACAACACTAACTCTCTGAATCAAAAAATTATTATTATTCGTTTTCAAACACATTTTTTTTTTTTTTAGCCTTTTCGTGGCAATTTTACAAAATTAACTTACAAATTGATTTATCTCCATGCTCCGTTGTGCTTCATGGCATAAATATACTCATGATTTTACATTCATTTCCATTTGCTGTAGAAAAAATTGGACAAAAAAAAACTTTTAGAGATTATCACGAGATCATAAGTTATCTTTATAGGCGGTCGTTAAGTCGAGAAGTATTTTTTCTCAAGAACCTGCATCGCCAAATTTACCATGAATTTGAATTTTATTCTGAATTTTGATATTATTTTAAGAAACAAAAATTGATTAGTTAAAAAAAGCATCTTTGTAATGACATTAAAGAGGAATAAAGGTGTCGTAAAATCTTTGAATTTCAAATAAGTCATTTAATGGATTTGCATGGTGTGATTTAAATTTCCTGTCTGACTGATTCGTCAGAATGTGGGCAACAAATAATCGTTGTTGTGTGCAAGCCTTGTGTATGATAATGAGTTGCTGGTTTTTGCTTTAATAGTTCAAAATGATGAAACATGAATATTCCGGTAATGAAAATTTCAATCAAATTACTTTATTCTGAGTGAAGTTATGAGTGTTTGAAGTTTTGACAATGTCAAGTACCATTGCCATGATAATAAAACAAAGTCTTGATTGTCAGTTCAATCATTGATTGACGTCCATTTTAACGTTAACCAATTAAATGTTCTAATCCATTGAATATCCGCAAGCGAATTATTGAAATAAAATTAAACCATATGTTATTCCCGAAATGACCTAGTTTGTGTCGAGTGGACGTTAAACCCCATTTCTCATTCTCTCTCCCATTGAATATCTCAGCCATCCCACACTTTAAAGATGTAGCGTAGATCGTTTATTATTGTAGCAATGGTACTTGACAACCAAGATTAAGCCTTGATTATCCATTTTTTCTTTAAATTTTTAAATCTTGTGGTTTGTCATACATCTAAATAATAGTTTACATAACATTTGAAGCCAGAAGAAAGATTAGCTCTTACTTAATGTATCTTTAAAAGACTGATTGGTTTCTATTTTATAGTACTTATGAGATATATGGTGTCATTTAATGTTGGACTTGATGTAGAAATTGTCAGTGTCAGTGGGTTACGAGTATTTGTTAATTTAATAATACTGGCCGTTAGATGTAATTAAATAGTCAAGTCATTAACAATGGTTCTAGATCTCCAGGAATCGTTAACGATGGTTCTAGAACTCCAGGAATCGTGTACATGTCCCTCTAATTAGGTTAAGTACCAATGATGTTAGTTTGTGATTAAACTATCTGATCATATCATGTATGTTTGGCACTCTTGTTATATCGGTAAGAGATGGTTACACGTTATACAAAGTTATGTGATAGTTATATCTTATTTGACAGTTATATGATAGTTATATCTATAAGACACAGTAGTTGTATCTATAAGGGGGATCACGTGGCTAAGTGGGTAAGACGCTAGCTCGCTAGCCTGGAGGTCGGGTGTTCGATCCCTGCATTGGCCGAGAAAGTTCATCCAGATTTTCCGGCGTGGTTCTCCCTTGTCAGTGATGCAGGATCGAGGGGCTGACAAGGAAAGCTGTCTAGTCGTTCGGATGGGACGAAAAACCGAGGTCCCGTGTACACATTGGCGTGCACGTAAAAGATCCCTTGGCAGTTGGAATTCGATATAAGAGTAGGCCGTAGTGCCGCTGTCCGGGCAAAATTTCCCTCATAGCACACTGTAGGGCGTATGCCCATCTTCATTAGCCCAGGTTAGGAGCAGAACAGTAGGACATTAAACTCCATTTCATTTCATTTCATTTCATTTGTATATATAAGACACAGTAGTTGTATCTATAAGACATTGTTACATAATCATATAGTCTATAAGGCATTGTTACACAGAAACATGATAACATATCTTAACACATGACACCGTTATATGATAGTAACACATGGCACAATTATATGATAGTAACATATGACACTTACAGTTATATGATAGTAACACATGGCACAATTATATGATAGTAACACATGACACAATTATATAATAGTAACAAATACCACAGTTATATGATAGTATTTTTTAACACAATTATATGATTGTAACACATGACAGGCACATTTATATGATAGTAACACATGACACGTACAGTTATACGATAGTAACACATGACACAGTTATATGGTAGTATATTTTATCAAGCAAAGAATGACAACCATTGTACAATAAAGATACAAACATAGGAGAAAGAAAAAATATGCACTTTGTGTAAAACTGGTGTAATCAATGGACACCATCATCAAGTTCTAGTGTTTAATATAAGGTTCTCTCTATAAAATGGGTGTAGTCAGTAGACACCAACATCGGTGTTATAGTGAAGTCACAGTGTATAATATATAAGGTTCTCTCTATAAAATGGGTGTAGTCAGTGGACACCAACATTAGTGTTATAGTGAAGTCACAGTGTATAATATATAAGGTTCTCTTTATAAAATGGGTGTAGTCAGTGGACACCAACACCAGTGTTATAGTGAAGTCACACTGTATAATATATAAGGGTTTCTCTTGCTCATTAATGAAGGGGAGGCAGACGATGAATTTCCTTCCTCGTCCTCCCATTGATTCCAAAGCTATAAAAAAAACTGCCTGATATTTATCTTGATTTTCTGTCTATTTTCAGTATATTGGTACCTTAGATGTCCCACGACCCAGTAGTAGAGTGGAGATCGTGGCGGCGATGCGTAGAATTCGTGTAAGTTGATCTCAGTTCCTTCATCCTGTTTATCCCAAATAAAAATAATTTTGGCATGCATGTATATAGTTCACACCCTGTCCATCGATCTGTCAACAATTGTCTTGTGAATGAGATAGAGACAACAAATTCTTGACGGATATTTCTCAAAATGAGTGTGAAGCATTGTGGTCAAGAGAGGACGTACACCATCAATATTCAGTGTTCTACGACCTTCCATTCCGGTGTTACTCTCATTATTCCGAAGGCGGGTGGATGGATGAATGGTAAGCACATGCGCACAGTATCATAAGGTCTGTCATTCAGTCAACTGATGGGGTTTCGATTCCCCGGTTGTACATGACAAGGAGTAGGGTTACCTGTCCAACCTCGCGGATTTTCTCCAGGTCCTCCGGTTTCCTTCCACCACTAAAGACCCCTACGTGCAAGTGAATTATAGAAATAAAATCGAACTATGTGTTAGTCTCTCTCTCTCTCTCTAGCTCTCTCTCTCTCTCACACCCCGAAAACCCTCAATAGAGATCAGGTTATCTTGAAGGATGAGTTCCTTATGAAATCGGTCAACATCCAAGTTTTCCTGTGAGATAAGCTTCTGTCGAGACATCCGTGCTGAGTGGGCGTATGTCTATGCTTTTCATTTCATTTCCTATGTAATCTCAGTCATAATATAAATACATTTTCACATTTTATTTTAAATATACAGCAGGGAATGGTCTGTACTTTAATAGACAATCGGTCACATGAAGTAGGTAATACTACCTGCCCGTGTCTGCAAGTTTTAAATCAAACGTGAACTTAATTACCTTCATTAAACATGAAACCGTGTCTGCTGTCTGCTGAGAGATTAGATTTATTTTTTCTATGCTAAATATTACTGCAGACATCTGTAACATGTCTAAACTATTATGACAACATTACCCAACATTTTTTGTACACAAGGTGAAGAGAGAGAGAGAGAAATGGGGTTTAACATCCACTCAACGTAAAGTAGGTTATTTCGGGACTAACATGGTTCAATTTTATTTCAATAATTTGCGCATAGGGGTCTTTAGCAGTCGGAGAAAACCCACGAGGTTTAAGAGACGACCTTACACCTTATTACGACACCACATCACTTGACTCAATGACATACTTTGTGATCAAACGTGCATGCGTTTAACCATTCAGCCACCCAAACTCCCTTCGTACACTATATAGGACTGAATATTTTGGAATATATTTAGATATCATTCCATCTTTGATTCACGTGAAAATAGAATTTTGTTTGAAATTATAGCTGCTGTGTGGGCGTTGATATGTATTTTATATCTTTATTTTAATTTTATATCGAGGAATATCTAAATGTCTACTTTAAAAATAACTTTTAATTTTAATCTTTGTTAGAGATTGTCATGGATACAAAATAATTTATGGTCTACACAGATGGTTTGTTACAGCCTACTTTAAAGTCTAACATCCTTTGAATTTGTTGATAATAGCCAGTAGATATATTTGTTAAGGCTTCAGTTTAACTTGAATCTTTGTAAGACTTTGGCATAGATAGGAAATAGTTTATGGTTTGTGAGAACCCAATTAAATTATGATTTCCTTTCGATCTTTTTAAGCCTTCTGCAGTTGTACAAGTTGGTTTATCCTAATAATATAAAACAGTTAGTCAATCCTGTAAATTTGTATTCTTGTTGAAACGTGTGTATATAATGATTGTTATCTTGATAACTGTGTTGTATATTATGTTCAATCGCTAAATGTCATTCACAGATTATGTTAGTCAGTTATATAAGTTACATAGAGAATCTCCTACAAATCTTTTTTAATATTTTTTTTATATAAACCCTTTATATCACCCAACCCTTTCTTACATGCACAAATAGATAAATATAATGTAAAGTGATATCTCCACTGAAGATATCACTCAGTAGAATATGAAAGTTGTCACACAAGCATGTCTGCTGTAGAATGTGTTTTGGCGTGATAAAGGGTATTATGCCGAAAATACTTACAGCAATGTATAAGTTGTAGTAGATGCTAAATATATTTTATGTAAGGCCCTGGAAATAATGCCATAAATACTCTGCTACATTATTTTTACCCAAATATTTAATTGTATTATAAAAGTCGCATTAGACCTACCGGTATTCCTAAAGAATATTATTATTATTTATTATCATGACAAGCCTATAATCAACTCTCTGGTTATCAGATGGCTCTGATTTTAAGCAGGTTAGACTACTGGAACCATTTAATAGTATAACTATAAAATAGATAATCATCTATATATGCTACATTTAAAGATACATTATGGGAGATTTTTATAAGGAGTTAGCCATTCTTGCTATAACAGTTCAAAAATAGATGATGAAAGAAGAATATATTGAAAATTTCAGTCAAATTACTTTATTCTGAACATAGTTATCACTAGATAACAAACCTTAATCTCTCAACCCTCCGTGTTTCGAGTTAAGAACTGAGGCCATGACCTATAACGTTGCAGCTGCCGGAGCGATTCACACCCGTCATTTTTAAACAAAATTGACAATAGTTTTAATCAAAACAACGATTGATTATTGTTATTTATAATATTTCTACAACACCCAACTACAATTAAGCATATAATCCTACCTGAAACGGGTACAAATCGTCATTTTTAAAATCGAGGCGTTAAGCCGTTACTAAGACCGCCATCTTTTTAAACGATACGCTGTCATCATGAAGGCAGGGCTAAATATAAGGCTTTTATAACAGCCAATCAAAAGGACAATCGAAAGCACAGTAACTATGAATGGATTTCGATGGCAGTGAAATGTCAGACAAAAACAACGCTTCATTAATTTAAACGTGAATATTTGGAGTTAGGCGACAGTTGTACCACTACATTGGCTTCTGTAAGTTTAATTAATCATAATATCATAAACTTATCTATTTTAAAGATGTTACATGCATTAATAAAGAAATTGAGTTTGCCACTTGGAACTAAAGGCATCCAATCGTAGCTAAAAACAAACACATCAGTATATATCAACGAGAACGTAGCTAAGTTATCACCAGTGTAATTTTTGACTAGAAATGGGATTGAATTCCATCTTCACCGATTCTTAGTATGGCCGATTGTTTGATTGACAGGTGTTAACTCCACCTACCATTTAAAATTAAATTAGTCAACGAAATCCCGTTTAAATCCGAGCTGAATCCAAGCCATCCGTGGGTCTACAGAGTTGATTTTGTGCTTGATCTAATTTATAATTTCTATGACGTCTGAAGCGTAAATAAAGACTTGCAATAATCGGATTTAGCTCTTGCATAATGTATGTTTAATCAATACTTCAAACAATCATAACATCGCACCGAACAAAGTAACTTCAATTAAATTTTCAACATATTTGTTTTTCATTATCAATTTTTGAAATATTATAGCAAGAATTGTCAGCTCTTTATCTAAATCTTACATAATACATCTTTAATGCTCGGTTTGACAATAGTCATTAAATTTTATTTTAAAACTCAGTTTGGCAAGAATTTTTTCTTAATAATCAACATAAGTTGATAGAATAATGAATTTGACGCTCCATTTGAAAGGAATTTTATCAAAATAAACTTTTAATTGGTAAAATAGTTTATCAGAATAATGAATTTGATATTCTGGAATTTTTTTACCAGACACTTAATTCGATCATTAAAAGATCTGTTGTGTCTTGTATCTTGTATAGAAGATGTTTTATGTGGAAACTATAGAAACTTTTATCTCGGTATAAAATGTTGTAGCGTGAGATTGATTGAACAGATCGAGATTGACTCGGCTTGCCAGCAGACAGCGAGTTGCAGACGTGTGGTTTAATGGATGAAAAGGCCATTTTGTATACCTGTAGTTTTTATATCAAACGTATTAAAATAGTTTAATATCAGAAGACGATGTACAATCATGTTCTGATTTACTGCCTTTATGTAAAACTAATATATTTAACAGCCCGTTGTAAAAGTCAGGGAACCATTAGACAATTTATTTAACAGTTTGTTTTAAAAGTTAGGGGGAATTGGTAGACGATGTAACATCTATATATGGCACAACCAGTTTTAAAAGTCAGGCAGAAGTTGTTATATAGATGATTAAAAACTGATATGTTTCGCAGTTCATTCTAAAAGTCAAGAAGAACTGGCAGATCATGTAACACCAATATATTTCACAGTTCATCTTAAAATTCAGGAAGAACTAATAGACATAGATGATGTTAAACTGATATATTTCACAACTCATTTTTAAAGTCGGGAGTGGTGGAGTGGGGTGTGGTGTGGGGGGGGGGGGAACTAGTCATATAGGCGATGTATATCCTTGCTGTCTTAATTTTACTATTTTTATGCAGCATGATAAAACATGGCAAAGACTGATTTCAAAGTCGATATTAATTCTTTTCTATAAAATATTTGGCAACCTGGGACACAAAGGCAGGAGTTACACAATACATGTATTCAGTGATGGGATTTCAAAATTTTTCTTGTCAGACATTTTTCCCCGAAAGTAAAGGGGCATAACTCTTATCATTATTCATTAAGAATCATGTATCAACAAAATATTCAAATTCATACGTAATAAAAGATAGGTGCACCTCGTTATTTTTCATGTTTAATTCCTGTACGGTATTCCTCCAAAATTACCATATTTTTCGGGTCATGAGTCGATGTATTAATTGTCAATAGGCCTTAGCATGTTTAGGATATTGAAGCAAGCCATTACATACATACATAATCAACCCTTTCAAATTTTCAACCCTTTCATTTGCAAAAAAATGCTCCAAAACACAAAAAATACATGTTTTATCTGAAACAGATGCAAATTTTCTTGGTTACTTTCTCCAAAATTTAACAATTTTCCCAACATTTAATGGACGGAAATTGTTTATTTTGATAGTTGAATTTGAAGTAATGTCTTTGGTGACAGGTTAGTGGTCTGTTTTAAATCAAAATGAAATGGTAGATTGTATTTTTGTTATAAATTATTAAGTAACCACTTTCTCTAATTCTCTGGTTTTAAAACTCTGGATAATTTCATTTGCCTTCATCTAGCCTGAAACCAAATTACGATATTTTTCTTTAAATGAAACCGACAATTAAATTGTGTTCCTGCGGCCCATCAGCTAATAGCTTGTCTGATTGTTGAATTGGCCAATTAGATGTCTTAAGCTTGTTTTTCTTACTTTTCTAATGTGTTTCGGTTTTTCTTTTTGAGAACAATAATTTAAAAGGTTTTTATCACATATAGGTTATGTGCTAATGTAAGATATATCTAGTAAAACTTGTAAAAATAAGAGTTCTTCAATTAGATGATGCCATGTATTAGGATTCTGGAACATTTTGTCTGAGCCCTAAAATTGATACCTTTTATCAACTTAATATGTTGATATGCATGTCAATAAGATAATACAACCCTCATCCTTTTTCTTTATCTCTGTCTTCTAATCTTCTACCCACTCTCTCCTTTTTCACTTCTCACCTTCATTTATCTTCTACTCTATCTTTTATCTCCTCTCCCCTCCACCTTTCCCTTTGTTACCTCTCCCCTCCTTCATCAGTCACCTCCACCACGCATCTCCTCCTTCGTTACTCCTCTTTTCCTCCACCTCCCTCCTCCATTCCTCCTGCATCTTTAACTCTGCACCTCTCTCCTTCATCACTCCATCACCCAGCTCTTCTTTGTTTACCTCTCCCCCTCCTTTATCATTCACCTCCACAACACCTCTACTCCTTCATGACTTCTTTTCTTTACCTCTGCACCTCTCTCCTTCATCACTATCCTCCTCCCACCATCACCCAGTTCCTCCTTGTTTACCACTCCCCTCCTTTATCACCTCCACCACTGCCTATCTTTCACTTCTTGCTTTCATTACCTTTCTCCTCCTCCATCCCACTTCTCCTTCACCTCCTTCTCCACCTCTCTCCTTCACCTCTCACCTTCTTTAACACCCTTCTACTTCTTCACCTATCATCTCTTCACCACCCCTCTCCTTCTTCACCACCACTCTCCTTCACCTCTCAGCTCCTCAACCTCCCTTCTTCTTCACCTCTCATTTCCTTCACCACCCCTCTCCTCTCTAGACTCCCATCTTCACCCCTCACCTCCTTCATCACCCTTCTCCTCCTTCACCACCCCTCTCCTCTTTCACCCCCACCTTCTCCTCTCACCTCTGCATTTCTATTCCTTTACCTCTCTCCTCCTTTAACTCTTCTTCTCTCACTCTGTCCTTCTCCACCACTCACCTCCATTCCTCTTCTCCACCACTCACCTTCCACTCTTTCCCCCCACTACATGTATCCCCTTCACTTCACCTCCTTCACTACCCCCTTCTTCACCACCCCTCTCCTCTTTCACCTCCCTCCTTCACCTCTCAACTCCTCCTTTCTATTCCTTTACCTATCTCTTCCCTCTCTCTTCCTTTACCTTTCTTATTTCTCCTCCAACTTTCTCCTTCTCCACCACTCACCTCCACCACTCTCCTCCCACTCTCCCCTTCCATGCCTCTCCACCTTTCCCTTTCATGACACTACTGCTTCAAATTCTCAAATATATTAACAGATGATGTTTCTTTTTCAGTATGAATTTAAAGCCAAGGCCATTAAAAAGAAGAAGGTGACCTTGACAGTCTCCACAGATGGGGTCAAAGTTCAAATCCGTAAGAAAAAGAAAGTAAGAAACTTTAATAAACCTGATAAGATGGTCCCAATTGAACTGAATTGTATAGAGTGACATGGCAATCAATCTAATCCCAGGTGGCAATGTTAAAATTTATATCATTTGAAGGCTGATCTGACATGTCCCTGGAGCCTAATACGTAAGACCTTGAATCACTAACCAAGAGGTCCCATGTTCAAACCCTGTGTTTACAGAGAAAGTTCATCGTGATTTTCTGGCATGACCTATTATTGCCCATCAGATCAGATCCTTGATCTGCCTCTGAACAGAAAATATTGGGTTTGGATTTAAATCCTTTAGCCCTTGAAATGCCCCAAAACCACCTGGAACAAGGGCTCCTAAGATCGTACTTAATTGCTCAAGTACAATCATATGAAGAGCTACTCGTATTCATAAATCTCGGGCGGGGTTTAAGGGTATATCCCTAAACATCCCCAGTGCACAAACACTACTCTTCCTTAGATCTCCCTCAACTTTTCTCTAATATTCTTTAAGGAGAGAGAGAGAGAGAGAGAGTGAGATGGGGTTTAACGTTCACTCAACACAAACTAGGTCATTGCGGACTAACACATGGTTCAATTTTATTTCAATAATTCGATGGCACGTTAGGGTCTTTAGCAGTGGGAGGAAACCAGAGATATCCGGAGAAAACCCACAAGGTTGGACAGGCGACCCTTCTCCTTGTCACATATAACCAGGGAATCGAAACAGCACGCACATGCTAACCATTCGGCTATCCAACCCTCGCTTTCTTTCAAGAGCTGAGTAGTAAGGGGTAAACATTACATTATTTTTTTATTTTTGTAGAAAAATTGGACATCGTTTGATGAGAGTAGATTATTAATTATGACCCACGCAATCTATAGGTAAGTTGAAATTTACAAGTAGATAATGAATTGTGACCCACGCAATCTATACGTAGGTGGAAATTTACAAGTAGATAATGAATTGTGACCCACGCTATCTATACATAGGTGGAAATTTACAAGTAGATAATGAATTGTGACCCACGCAATCTATACGTAGGTGGAAATTTACAAGTAGATAATGAATTGTGACCCACGCAATCTATACGTAGGTGGAAATTTACAAGTAGATAATGAATTGTGACCCACGCAATCTATACATAGGTGGAAATTTACAAGTAGATAATGAATTGTGACCCACGCAACTTATACATAGGTGGAAATTTCCAAGTAGATAATGAATTGTGACCCACGCAATCTATACGTAGGTGGAAATTTACAAGTAGATAATGAATTGTGACCCACGCAATCTATACGTAGGTGGAAATTTACAAGTAGATAATGAATTGTGACCCAAACAATCTATAGGTAGGTGAGTAGATTATTAATTACGACCCATGCCATCTATAGGTAGGTGAAAAGTTACAATTTCCCTCTCAGATTTCACCATATGTCGGTTCATAACATTTAGCTCAGTGAGTAAGATGCTGGTTAAAGGACAATGTTGGTTTCAGCTAATATTATATATACATGTTATTGCAAATCCATTTTGAATCAACCACTTAAGTCAACCAACCTTGCATGTATTGTGGAACTAGGAATCTTCCCACTAATGCTAAACACTTATACTCGCATGCTTATGTATCATAAAAGGCTGAACGATGCCAGGGTGAAACAAATATTTCCTCTTCTATCAGCAGCCTATATTGAAGATAAATATATCCTCTAAAAATTGTCTTGGTCAGTTGCAATCAATAATTTAATATCGAAACTCGAAATAAATCATGTACATTTGCTAAATAAAGAGAATATAAAGAAATTTAACTCCTTCTACCACATATCCTCTAACTCGAATAACAGCAAAATACGTACATATTTCATTTCTAAACCTACTGTTACGTACTCTCCAGACTATTTATATTTGGTTAAAAGTAGAGATCATAAGAAAGATATGACCACACTTAAACTCAGTATGCATCACTTAGAAATAGAGAGCAAATTAGCAAATTACATACAGATTTCATTTCTAAACCTACTGTTATGAACTCTCCAGGCTATTTATATTTGGTTAAAATTAGAGATCATAAGAAAGCTATGACCACAATTATAGACTCAGTACGCATCACTTAGAAATAGAGAGGGGCCGATCCACAAAAAATTCCCGCTGATCAGCGTTTATGCAAATTTTGCTACTTAAACTCGATCGAAAACAAGCAACATTTTTTGCTAGACTGTAGCAAGTATAAAGAAATACGTAAAGCCCATTTATACCCAGCCTTCTCAGTAAAGCGACGTTTACACGATACAACCAATCCATACAACCGTCGGATGCAACATATTGGACGACTGTTTACACCGTACAGTGGTTCTATTCGTTGTATGGCAACATTTATTCCTTCTTAGTAATTGAATAAAATGGCAGTAAGACGACACTTCTTTTCCCCGTCTTGATGCCGCGGGTTCCACAAAGACTTTGCTTCCCATACAGAGTTATTATATATTCAAATTCAGTCCGGGATAGGTTTAGATCCATTTTAGAGGAGATCAAAGACCTCGAAGCGATAGAATAAGACATCTTTAATCAGGAATTCTGGTTGCCAAGTCAGATATAACATCATACGGCATATGACGTTGTCTAATATAACGCACTTTGATTGGCTATTGCATGAGTTGGTCGGATGAGAATAGAACTGATCCTATCCATGCAATAAGCCGTCCATCCGACCATTTGTCTGATCAGTTGGTCGGATGCGACGGTTGTATGGATTGATTGTATCGTGTAAACGCTGCTTAAATACTGAGATTTTCTACAATTTTATTGATCTCTTTAACCAACCAAAATCGATTGCCAAGGCAGTGGCTTTATATTTGTTTTTGGCTTTTGATCTAAATCAAATTTGGTGGCAACTACGTACATGTAACTGAAACCCTATACAAGTAGATATAAATGTACTATACTGTTTGTATGAATGTATTACTTGTGTGTACATGTATGTGTTGTCTATATGTAGTATGTATTATTAAATGTATATGACTATATCTAAGTGTATATGTATGCATGCTGTCCTTAATGGACATTTTGATGCAATAAATATTTCATCCTATCTTATCTATAATTTTAATCTTCACTCTCTTTGAGCGGGAACAAAGATGTGAAGAATCAGGAAGTGACAAAAAAAAAGAAAAACAGGAGTTGAAAGCGATAACAGATACACAGTCCATTTTTCAGCTCACTTATTATTCCTTTGATGTCAAAAAGTTGTAATGTGAGACCGTTAGGGGATATCTGTTCAAAACAAACTATACATAAAAGAATTGGCTATCACACGATAAGAGAATGTGAGAAAAATACAAAAAGTCTGTGAATTGTTTTTTTTTTTTTCAATTCTCAACTGACGCCAACTTTGTCCTTTAACTAACCATGAACTCCAGGGCCTATTGGCTGAGAAAGAAAGAACACAATACAGTAATTTCATTGCTGCCTGGGCAAAATTTCTCAGCATGGCTTATGCCAGTCTACCTCTGCCTGGTTCGTGTGCTGAACAGGAAGACATTAAACCTTATTTCATGTGGGCAGTTGGTGGCTGAAAGGACTAGCATATGCATTTAAGATCATAAGGTCTGTCATGGAGTCAAGCATGGAGTAGGTTCACCTGCCTAACCATGTAGATTTTCTACGAGTCCACTAGTTTCCTCCCACTGCTAAAAGACTCTACATGCAAACAAAACCTTTCTCTTTTATTGTTCGTTCTTTCCTTAATTATTTGTCATTTCGTTGGAATTAAATTTTTTGTGAACTGAACCTCAAAGTGGTTATTAAAGGAAATGAAAATCGATATAAAACAGATTTAATGTGACATTCATTATCTTTATAAAAACGCTAAACTACACCTTATTTTGTTGATATAAAAACCTGTTTGTGTAACTAGTCAAGTGAAGCTGACTGGTTTCTCATCAAGCGTAGACGTTGATATAATAATTTATAACGAGTCGTCAAGTGTTTGTTGACCATCAAGCCGTATTGATACAACAGTTTACCCAGTCATCATCGTTACAACTATCGCTAATTGTCTGCACGTTGATCACTAGTTCAGTAAATGCAGCCATAATTGAAGGAGATCCGTAATAAATTGAATTTTGATGCTCGATAAACATTTGATGGCGTCTCAATAACCCGTTTGCCACTTTGATAAATTGCGTAAACATTTTCCTTTTCGACTCAAATTTATGATAAACTCTGCGAGAAACTGTTCGATAATCGGAAGACTTTATAACTTTGAATACGTCAAGAATTATTTGTGTTTAAATGAAGGACGTTCTATGAATGCCTAGTTGAACCTAGTTTCTAACTAGGTGTTGGAATTGATCAGTGGGATTGCGTTACGTCTGATGAAATAATAAAGTTAGAAGTCAACAGATCTCTGTTTATGAACTGATCGAGTTTAGTCGTGTAATAATTAAAGATGTATTACGTAAGAGCTAAATGTGACTATTGCAGGTCTTTATTTTGGCTTCAAATTTTATATAAATTATTATTATTTATTATTTAAAAATTGAATTAAAAAATGGATAATCAAGACTTTGTTTATTACCATTGTAGCAATGAAAATCAAGACTCAAACTTCGAATAAAATAATTTGATTGAAATTTCCAATATATTCCTGTTTTATTATCTATTTTGAAACTATTATAGTGAGAACTGTCAGCTCTATATCAAAATCTAAAATAATGCATTCATATGCATATTCCCCAAGCAGCGAACTTGACAAGACTGTATCTGAACAAGAGTATTTTAATCCAGGATGTATTCAGACACAAGTCCCATATCAATTGGTTATGAATATAATCCTGTTGTCGGGTGTATATAGATAATAATAGAATTATAGGTTAATACTGTGATTATAGAAATAATCATAATTTAAATTTAAATTCACTGGAATAATGACAGACTACAACAATTTGAGAATATCTTATCTTCTGAATATCAGTACTCTAATAGTATCCGAAAATAAGAAACCTGACAGGACTGTATTTGAATCCAGGATGTGTTCGGAAAGGAAGTCCTATATCTGGTCATCCAGTATATTTACACCATGACCATTATGTTACAGATTGATTATCTCTACACTATAAAAATGTTCACAATTTAAATTTGAATTCCTCTTACAGGGCATATTGCTCTATTCTTTTAAACCTTAAAATAGACGAAAATGGCTCGAAAAAGCACATGTTAATGTAATATGAATGTAAGTGATTTACATTTAATTTTTTTTGTCCCCTGCCTTTTGAAGAAAGCAGGGAACTATTAAAATGGGTTCGTCCGTCTGTCTGTCTGTCCGTCTGTCCGTCCGTCTTTCTGTCTGTCACACTTTTTGGGACACAATAACTCTCCTTCTAATTGACCTAGAATGTTCAAACTTGGTGTATGTGTTTATTAAGTCAATGCCTTGATGGAGTTCGAAGATGAGCATTTTCGGCTTAGGGTAAGCAGAGATAAGCAATTTGATTGGTTGATGCTTTGGGACACGATAACTTTAGTTCTAATTACGCGAGAGTGATGAAACATGGTGTATAGTTTAATTACATCAATACCTTGACTAAGTTCGATAATGAGCTTTTTCTGCTCAGAGTAAGCAGAGCGATAAGCAATTTGATTGATCGAGACTTTGGAACACAATAACTCTCCTTCTAATTGAGCTAGAATGTTCAAACTTGGTGTAGGTGTTTATTAGGCCAATGCCTTGATGGAGTGTGAAGATGAGAAATTTCTGCTTAGGGTAAGCATAGATAAGCAATTTGATTGGTTGATGCTTTGGGACACGATAACTTTAGTTCTAATTAAGTGAGAGTGATGAAACTTGTTGTATAGTTTCATTACATCAATACCTTGACTAAGTTCA